GTGCTGAGCGCTGGGGGTGTGGAGGAGGCTAGAGGCCCCCGTACGTGCTCGGAGGTGACGGGCTGGGGGGTTGCTGGCTCCTCCTGCCGTTAGGGAAACATTAACTGAGAGTTCTGCTGTCACTTGGGGCTGAAACAGGTTAGACAGTAGCTTGCAGAAAGCAGCTTAAGACTAAATAGGCGCAAACGACAATGCAAATTCCCGTTTTCACGGTCGATGCCTTTACAAACCGGCCGTTTTCTGGAAATCCTGCGGCAGTTTGTCTGCTTGAAAATGTAAGTTTAAAAAAATAACTACTTTGTGAGGGACTGCAACGCCATTTACCATTCTGTACTTGACCTGAGCCTTAAGTTTTGCTTCCTTTACTCAGGAGTTTTGCTTGCAAGCGTTGTTTGCTGTTGCTCCAGAATACAGAGACATTAGCACAGGGGTACTATCTTTCCATCAGAACGGTTTCATACAAGAGGTGCTTTGTATTTTTTGTGGGTTTTATTTATTTTTTTAAAAGGTATATACTTGTTTTTTTCTGAGTTAAGTCAAAAAGAAATGGCTTCATTTCTTAATCCAGTAGATTCAGAATGAAATCTCTGGAAGGAAATGTAATAAGATACAATCAGTAATCATAGTTTTTGAATGAGGTGTTAAAGTGTGGGATTTGGTGAGAGTTTTTTTGTGTGGAGTTTCCCCTCCTTTTTAATTTTTTTTTTTGCTCTTTAATTTTTTTCTCTCTCTGGGGAAGGAAAGAGGGGAAGTATAGACCTGGATCTGAGTGAGGTTCAGCTTTAGCCAAGTTTAAACAGCCAGTTTTTATTGCTTCAAAATTACATGGTAGTTTTAGCGTCCTTGTGAACTGTTAGTTCTGAACAGTTGGTACTAATTGGTGCACTGTTGGCAATTTCTACCAAAACCTAATTATTAAACTGGATTAGAAATACATGGGCCTTATATTATTTGTATACTAACACTTGATGAAAACTGTAAGTATGAAAATATATGTAGAGTGGTCAATGGCAATAGCTTGTACTGACAATATTAATTCTTTCTAGATGCTCCTAAGCCTGCCTAGGTCTCGTACGATAGGTCATATGGTCTGGAACAGCCCTTGGGCCACTTGGGGTTAGTTGTCCCGGCTGTGCCCCCTCCGAGCTGCTTGTGCCCCTGGCAGAGCAGGGGAAGCTGAAAAGTCCCTGTCTTAGTAGTGTAAGCACTGCTTAGCAACAACTAAACCATCAGTGTGTTACCAACATTCTTCTCATCCTAAATCCAAAACACAGCACTATGCCAGCTACTAGGAAGAAAATTAACTCTATCCCAGCCGAAACCGGGACAATAGCCTACTTAGCAGATAGGCTAAAATAACGGCTGAGAACATCTCACTTCAGAGGTATTTTTGGCCCCCTAAAATCTAAATGCTCCCTCTCAGAATGAACTTACTTTATGAGCTTCTAATTTCATTTTTATGTGAATATTACTTTATGACAGTATACTGTGAGGGCAACTTACTTGCATGTTGCCATTGAAGTGCTGAGATATTAAAAGTTTTTCCTACAGCACCTGGGGCTAGAGGCTTTAGTGTCAAAGCTGAGATTCACTTAAAGCTGAGATTCTAATTCATGATTGTATTCTGAGCTCCAGGAAAGTATGGTGCAGCTAGCAGCAATATTTCTGTTCTCGGTTGCCTTCAGCGTCTCAGCAGATGCTCTGCAAAAACATTGGGAGTAATGCAAGAAGGGCAAAACAAGCCCTTTCTGTGTTTCCAAAGTGCCACAGGATGGCAGTATTTCAATAAAGTTCTATTATTTTTAATAACATTTTGGTTGGTCTTTGTTCTGGTTTAGCATCTTTTTACTATCTAATTGACAGTCAGAACTATTTTCCTGAGGAGAGATCCTTGTTACTGTAAAAAGGTAGAATGTCATTTCACTGTATAGAATTCACTCTGCAAATACAGGTCTATGATACGTATCAGTAATTGTTTCATATCTGTAGTAGGGGATCACTGGCTGAAAAAGATTTAAATTATTAAGGGAAATAAGTAAAGTTATCAGGGCTATATTTTTTCTCTCTGAGGTTGTACCTGACTAGGTCCACTCAGTACTTTGTTTCATTTGTGTTTCAATATTTGAAAGACCACATTCTCAAAGGTGGCCAGTCAGCATAATTGTGGGGCAAGAACAATGGAACAAGGGTGAAGTAGAATTTTATACGATCGCTGCAGCTCATGTATCCTGGGATCAATGTTCACTGGTTTAAATCTGCAGGCAGCTAGAGCAGAACGTAGTGAGCTCCAGCATTTGTGTTTTTTGGCTTATCTCCTCCCAGCTTCTCCTGACTTAGCATATCGTTCCTGTTGTTCAAAGAGTAGTATCGAGGGCTCAGCCGTAAGCGCTGAGCAGCCATCTTGGCCATTGCCCTGGCCATTGCCCTGGCCATTACTGCAAACCTCTTGCTGGCATGGATTAGGTTATGTTAATAATGACTTCTCAGTGTGACTTTGTGACTTTAAAAAAATACTTGTGTTTGTGGAAAGACTGAGTTTAGGTTTTTTTGGTGATTTTATTTTCCATGAATTCCAAGAATTTGTAAGCTAATAGGGCAGATACTGGAAATGCCCATGTATCTCAATGATTGAAATTGTTATCCCATTTTATGCTTAAAGTTTTTTTTACTCTCAGAAAGTATTTTGAACTAAAAATGAATCTATGTTTTCTTATAATAGAAAATGAAATTACTGTATTTATTCGACAGAAAGTTTGATTCTGCATTTTCTGGCCTGCTTTTAATTGGATTTGTTGTTTCATCATTAGGACTTGGATGAAGATTTGCACCAAAAAATCGCAACAGAAATGAACCTTTCAGAAACTGCTTTCATCAGAAAGCTGCACCCTGGAGATGACTTTACCAAAAGTGAGTGGTTCTGTTTACCCACCAAAATCTCTTACAAGGGAACAGGAAGACACTGTGGGTGCATTTAGAAGGAATGGTGCTAACCTGTAAGACAGCCAAAGCAAAACCTTGGAGTTGTGATGTGTTTTACTTAATATACTAAAAATAAGCCTTTTGCACATGGATTCTTT